CGGGCGCGCTAGCCGCGGCGCCAGGGGAGCCCCGCGCAGCCCGTGCCCGCCGACCCCATAGCGCCTCGGCCCCCCGGCGCGTCGCCGCTGCTCCCGTTCGCTCGCCCCTCCCGGCCCCACGTCCCAGACCCCTGCTCGCCGCGTTCGACTGCTCGCGGCGGCGCAGGCGATTGTTTTTGTTTTCACGGGAACCGACCGATGACCTCGTTCTCCCGGACGGCACCAAGCGCCGTCGACCTAGAGGGGGTGCAACTACCCGGGGCTTGGGAAGGAGGCAGCGCGGGCCGTACCAAGCGCACCCTCGAGGGGGAGCAGCCCGGCAAGCGCGGGCGGAAGAACGCGACAGGCGGCCGCACGCGCCGCCGCTCTAAAGGTGTGGGCCGTACCGCGCGCAAGGCGTACAAGGGAGAGGGCGAGGGTGGGGCGAGGACTCCATTGGTCCGAGAAGCTAAATAGGGAACTTTGGAGATGGCCCCACCGCTCGGAGGGCGCTGCAATTACGCGCCCGGTAAACAAGGGCGTAGAAACCATCCCTAACCACTCCGCCCAGAAACCGGGAAAACGAACCAACTGGCGCGGGGAATATACAAGAAACTAACATCCTCCAATCCCTAGCCGAGGCGTAAACCTTCAGCCAATCCGGGCTGAGAGGACAAACCAATGGTCTCGCTGTTGGAGGGGGTGACTTGAAGAGCGTACCGAGAAGCTAGTGGTTTCTGGAAAGCGGTAGGGAGAAACCAGACGAAAATTAAAAGGGCTGTTTTCCATAGGACTTCGCCTTAAACACAATTTATTTCATCTCTTCATCGCTTTCAAGGGAAAGGGGTAGCGTCATTCCGAAGTTTTGGTAGACGGACCCGCCTCCCCGGTTGAAAAAAACCAGCCAGGCCGCCTGGAGGCGGGTCGTGCCGGGCGGGGATCGCTAACAGGGATAAAGGCGGGCCGATCTGGGGGACGGGTGTTGGGAGCTGGCTGCTGGTGGCGAGGGGCCCGCGCCGGGGGTCAGTGCTGTCCTGGTGCTTGCGACACCCTGGAGGTCACACTCCTCACCACCCCCCGCGGGCCGCGACCCCTCGGCCCCTCATCTCCTGACCCATCGCGCCCTCCACCGTGCCAGGTGCCGGTCAGCTTCGAGGGGTGGGAAGAACACGCGCTGGAGAACCGGACAGCCTGGCCCTTGCCTTATTCCTCTGAATCGGATTGGGTTACCCCCATGGCGCCTCCAACCTTGGCCTGTACCCCTCGCTCACTAAGCTCCCGCCGCACTCCCCTTTGCGTTCCTCCGAGGAGCCCGGCTAGTTCTTGTCTCAGAGCCTTTGCACTTGCCCTTTCTTTCTCCAGGAAAACTCTTCCTGCGCCTCTCTCATCCTAAAGTTCTCAACTCACGTGTCCCCTCGGAGGGCCCATCCCGACCACACTAATGTAGCTTCTACCTTCCTGCACTTCTAACCCCATCGCTATATCATAATTATATCTATTATAGCACCAGTTTTATTATTTTCACACCACTTATCAAAATCTGAAACGATCTTTTATTTTACTTTTTTGTCTGCACTACTTCGATAAAACCATGAAGGCAGGCCCCTTGCCTATTTCTTGCCTAGAAAGCGCCTGGCAGTTTGGTAGGCATTTTTTTTTTTTTTTTTTTTTAAATTAAGGTGATAAAGTTTTTGAGCCTCAGTTTCCTTTT